TCCCAGCCCAAGGGTGATGTCTGCCCGGCCGCAGCCCTGGCCTGGCCTCGCTGACCTCTGCTTCCTATGCCCCACACCAGCCCACTCCTCATATGGCCTTGGCCTCCACCGCTAAACGAGAACCAGCTGTGCCGGCCTCCACCTCCCAGCTGTGTTCATGGCCCCTGTTTATGTGCATGTTTCCATATGATATACGTGCACACCTGTACATGCATGAGTGTGAATATGTGTCATGGATGTGTTACAGTTCATAGATGTATATTATGTATTAGTGCACACATCCTGTGTACAAATGAGTATGTGTGTGAATGTGTGCATGTGAGTGGCACATGTGGGTATATGTGCTTATGACTATTCACCTACATGTGAGTTTAAATGAGCACATTATGCACACATGCCATGCATATTGGTTTTCATAGGAACACACACGTGCACACGTTTGGTCATATAAGCACACATGGCTGTAACACATACACATGTGTGTTTAAATGTGCATTCGGGTGTGTACATGTGGCTGTGTCTATGTATGTGCCTGTGTGTTTGATATATGTGATGTGCATGTTATTATGTGGACATGTGTAATAAATATGTGTGTATAGATAAGTGTGAGTGTGCAAATATGTGTGACTATTTACAGTGTATACACATGCTTGAGTCTGTCTGTGTGTTGGGAGTATGCATGTGAACATGTAGACTATGCGTGCAGTGTGTAAATATGGGTGCGTGTATGCTTGAGTGTGTGCACAGGTGTGACTGTATGCTCCTGTGCATAGTTGTGCATCTGCATGTGCACACATGATGCTGTCTGTGTATAACTGTGTCTGTGTGAATGTGTGTGCGTGGAGAGCAAGTGCGTGGGGGTATATAACATGTGCATGTATGTTTGAGAGCAGGGTGCACATATGTACACGGACGTGTTTCCAGAGGGGCCCAGGGCGGCTCCCTGCCCCAGCCCATGTGCCTGGACACGGAGTGGGACACACATGCTCTTGATAAAGAGTTTAGAGCCTCGGCCTGGGGCAGGCGTTAGTCACACCCGGAGCCCCATGCCCCACTCCAGGGGCGCCTGCCCAACTCGGAAATAAAATTAACCCCAGAGTCGCATGGGGCGGCATGGAGGGGGGATCAAAAGGGGAAGGGCTCAGGAGGCGAGAAAGAAGTGTTTGTTCCTCCTCTGCCCTGAGAAGCTGGCCAGAGCGTTTCTTCCTCCCCCGTCTCCCTCCTCCCCCTCCTCTGTCTTCCTTCCCCCTTCCTCCCTCCTGCTGCTGTCCTCTAGGTCCAGCCCTGCTCCCCTGGCTCCTCTAGGGGTAGCTCAGAGCTCCTCCTGAGTCACATTCTCCAGCCCAACCCGGAGGGAACCTGAGCACAGACCCCACCCCACAGAGGCTGGGAAGGACCTGAGGGAAAGCCTGCCTTTCTTTCACCAGGAGAGGGGACAAGGCACCCTGTCTCTCTGAGCCTCAGTTTTGCCATCCGTGAAATGGGGACCCAGGAATTAGACTCAGCCTTCTCAAAGTATCTTCCTCACCTTTGACATTCTGGGATCGCTGAGGGACACATCGTGTTCCCACTGCCCCACGCTCATGGGCAACCGAATACACCTATGACTGGGCTCCCACAGTGCATGTGCAAGAGTCATGTCCCAAACTGCCTCGTGTATGCCCAGGTCCTCCTGTCACCTGCTCACATCTGTCCTGTGCATGAGTTTTAACCCACTAAGCACTGGGTGAAATGCATGTTCCTCATTTCATGTGATTTTCAAAAACCCTACCCAAGGTAAATGTTATGTGTCCTCAGGTTACAGACACAAAAACTAAAGTTCAGTGAGGCTAGGAACTTTTCCAAGGTCACACAGTAGGTGAATGAGTGACTCCAGGTCTCCTAACTTTCAGCCCAGCGCTCTTTGGCCAAACCATAAACTTGTGTAAGACACCCAGTAATGACACACACCTAGACCCACCTGTGTGCGAATTCACATTCACAGCCTCACACCCGCCTACACATGCACAGATGCACGCGCACAGTGATTGATTTCTACGTGAGTATCCCCTAATATGTGTGCATACAAG